CCGAAATGATGATCAGCACCGCCCATCGTGATTTGCACTCAACATGATCTATATATAGAAAAAATATATATTGTTTTGAACTTTTTAACCATTATTTTAGTTATGTCTAGCAGGGACGGCTGTTAAGCTACCTGAAAAATTAGAAAGCGATTTCAAAATGAACATTTTTTTACACAAAATGAGCAAAATCGACCTTCTCAAAATAAAATTAGCATGTTTGACCTTTTTCTTGCTAGCTGGCCAAAAAGAGGTCGAAATTGCAAGAGTAAGCTTCATAATTACACGGGACTACTAATCATGTGTAAGTATAGTAACTAATCTCCCTCCCAGCTCCTCTGTCTGGTCGTCGACGCCCGCACCACAGGTTGCCGCCGCCACCGCCATCATCGTCTCCTACATTCTCTCCGGTCATCTTCCGCTTTTTCTGTCTTCTGCTACACCCAATTCGCCGTCAAGATTCCCTACACTGGCGGCTCGTTCTCGTACCTCCGCCGACGCGCTCGGTGACTTCATGGCCTTCATTGTCCGCCAGCCAACATCCTCCTCGGAGCCCTCGTCGGAGCCACCGGCCTCGCCCGCTCGTGGACTTCGTACTTCTCCGCTCTCATCAAGCTCCACGTTGATGCACTCGCCGTCATCACCTTTGTCATCATTGCGGGGTTCTACCCACTCGAAGATGACCAGTTTGCGTTGAATTTCTGGATGCTTAAAACACAAGACTAGCAGTCCCGTGTAAATTAATGAGCTGATTAGTAACCATTAATTACACGGAACTACTAGTCTTGTGTAATTAAAAAACTAATTTAAGAAAAATCGACCGTTTTCTGCCAACATCGGCAACGGCCGATTTTGCTCATTTTTTTCAAAATAGGTCGATTTTGCCTATTAAGTTTTAAAAAAGGTTCATTTTGAATTTTTTTTGAAAAATTAACATATCAGACTAGTTTGATTCATATTGGAGAAGACTCCAAATTATGTGAAAATTTTATCATATATATTTCATGACGTTTTGAACAAGATGTACGGTGCCGATCATGAATTTGGTGATCTGATTAGTCTAGCTCACAATAAAATTTGAGCTCACCATCTCATAATATATCCTCTTATATTTAATATATTTAATTAGAATAATTAATATAAATTGTGTGCCATTTACACGAGATCGAATTATGAAATGAAAATTTAAACTAATCTTATACATGCCCGACATATGTACCCATAATTTATTTGAAAGTATAATCCTTAGTTAAAACCCTTATAATCAAACAAGTTTCTATCCTAAGAAATAGTCTTACATTACGCGTGTCGGTTATGTATGCTAACTTTATGTGTACGCCCTTCTCCTAATAGAATTCTATTAGATAAATAATTAGCTATAAAAAATTCATCTAAGCTCTAAATTTTTATTAAATTAAAAGCTAATCGATCTAGTTTGCTATAATATCATCCTCGCTCATGTTAGTCCACAATTACCAATAAAAAGGGATGAAGTTTCTGTCTAGCCACCCTATCTTTTTTATTTATAAATTAGAAATTAATTCAAATTTAATTAGATAATTCAAGTTTAGTTGTTGAGAGATTTACTTTTTACTACAATGGGTATCTAGATTATTTCATATTTTGAAGAAACGATATCGATGAGATTTGCCAAGAAAAGTGTAAAGGTCAGGGGTGTTTGTGAGAAATCACCTATTTTAGGGGGTGAAATCAAAATTTCAAAGTTGAGAGGTTATTACGACATCCTAAAACTAAGGGGATTTCTCTGAATTAAAATAGTTAAAGGGGTTTTCTAAGCACCATAAAGAGTTCAGTGTATCCTTTTACTGGTTGGAAGATTTTATTAACCGCAATAAGTATTTAGGTCATTTCACATTTTTAAGTTCTTTGCAAGAAAAGTGTGAAGGTCAGGAAATATTATTGCAATATATTTTATGGTAAAGATAACCTATTTTGCAACCAAGTTATAGTAAAGAAATAAACCAAAAAGAAGCAATCATATTATTTGATCACGTGCAAAGCACGTGCATTCCTACCTTGTGTGCTTCTCTGTGTGTGTAGACAGAGAGAGTACTAAATATGAGCTACACCTTAACAGATGAACTACCAGGAGACAAGAGTGGGGGAGGAGTGTGTGTGCGCACCCCCTAAACATAAGCTTCCCGCTCTTTTAGCAAAATAGAAAAACTACTAAGAGACAACAATATTGAGATCCACTTGCTCCGATGTGTCTAACAGGATAGGTCTCACCACTAATTTACCTTTTGTATCTCATTTCGTAAAATGAGCTGCCACCCGACCCATTTTTCCACGTGCTGTGTGCGCGCAAGTGAATGTGTGTGTGTGTGTGTGTGTGTGTGAATGTGAACAATGTTTATTGTATATGTGAATATGCATAATTTGCATACATATAGATGTGTTAGCTTTATAAGGATGATGACAATGATACTTCTAGGAGATAAATGTGTTAGCTTTATAAGGATGATGACAATGATACTTCTAGGAGATAGACACTACTTCCAATTCTCTATTTCATTAATCCAAATAATCAGATGAAGAAAGTTAAGTGTCAGGAAAACTAGACAAAGTGTTTTACTTTTTTTAACATGCAACAATCATTATAAAGACTTGAAATGTTTAGGAAAACTAGACAACGATACTTCTAGGAGATATACACTACTTCCAATTCTCTATTTCATTAATCCAAATAATCAGATAAAGAAAGTGTCAGGAAAACTAGACAAAGTGCTTTACTTTTTTTAACATGAAACAATCATTATAAAGACTTGAAATGTTTAGGGAGAAAGGAATGGTTATGCTTTTATGGCTGCTTGAAGCATAAAACCTAAAGAAATATAAGAATTGTAGGCAAGAGGGTACTTAAAGAGCACCATTAGTTGATAACATACCTTCAATAAAGCCATCCAGCAAGCTACCTCAAGTGCCTGAGCAGCTTCATCAATTATTACCAAATCGAAAGTATTTGTGTCCAATTTGTGAGAAAATGCACCAGTCAGAGTTGTTAAAATTACATCCGCATTCTTCATAACATCCTTGACCGCAAGCTGCTGTCTTTTCCTTTCTTCTTTGGAAAGTAGCCTAAGTTCTTTTCTTATGTCCCTCTTCGCCCCTCTATCTTTGGTTTTTAGTAGCTTTGCATTTAGAACCTGAGGATATGACGTGGCAAACAATTAAAACAAAACCGCAGTGAGCAAAAGGCAGGAGGGACACAACCTCCACAGAAAACCTAAAAAACTCTGTATAGCAGTACCCAACCTTAAAACTTAAGAGCACAATAATAGTACAAATATTCATGCTTATACGAAACAAACAAAGAAAGCAGTCTTTTATTATCACGTTAGCTTCGGAGATGAATATAATTACCTTCATTTCCTTGCGGATATCACTGGCCAACGAACTGTTATCACCCCGCAAAATCTAAAGAAAGAAACATATAGAAGCATAAGCATAAGAGTAAGAAATCCAGTATTTTATTCTTAAAAAAGAGAAATAAGAGGATATAGAAGCTTTGGAACATAATTTAGAAATAAAAACATGAGAGAACTGAAAGTAAATTAAAAGTTTTTTTTTTTTTTGATCATTGAACAATGGCCAGCTATAGCAAAGAGGACTTTGGAATCGTGCATTAATTGCCAACAATGGTAGGAGAGTCGGTTGGAGGGAAGGAGACGCAAAGAGTGGGGCTCAGGGGACAGAGAATGATAAAGAGAAAGGCCGTGAGAAATCCTGGTTGAACCCTAGTCGAATTGGTTGGGGAATTAACATTCTAATTCAATCGGGTAGAACCAGTTGGGTTGACTATGTTAATTACATGAAGCAGACTGCTTAATTGGCGTACAAGTGCTAGGTACCCAAACACTAACTTGGGGCATCAAAACTAACGTCCTGCAGCCTGGGAGTCATTTCTGACAAAGCAATACCTAGGTTAGGTATAATCATACTGAAAAGACCACTATGGTTAGCCTTTAATTTACAATGTCATACTTTATACATTCAGCTGCATCTATATTTATTATGCTAAAACATAAGAACTAAATTTTATTTTTAACAATTCATAACATAATTTCTATCTTATATGTTGTGTGAAGCATTGATAAAAGACGGTAGAAAATATTTAGATGAAAACACAAGCATATCTTTACTTCAAACAAATTGCCTCTTACACAGTTTAATATGAATTTTATATTTCTTTCATTGTGTGCATTTATTTCATTGTGGTACTGAATCTCTGGTACGTGTACCACACTTTCTGCAAAGCAAAGCTGTTGAAATGTGCATTTGTAAGCACATACACATTTCTATATACAAACTGTAAATAAAGGGGGAAGAGATTACAGTACCTGTGCATCAAGCGTGCTCTCTAATACTTGAGGCAGCAAACGTGCAGGGTGGCCCAACCTCAGAAGCTTGACTCTGAGGGGAAAAAAAATAAGTAGTGAAAAAATAATACATTGATTATCTTTTCAATTAAGTGTAGTAGGGCCCAAAAGTATCCATAATAATATTTCCATCCAACCACTTAGATGATTTATTTCCAATTTTCCATTTAGTTATGAAATAGCCTCCTTCATGATATAAGATAGCATGTTTTAAACAATTACCACAATAAAAAAGAAAACCTTCACCATGCTCTTCCATCAGCATAAACATTGAGAACAAAGTTTTAGTTTGTAAATATTTTAATACAACGTGAGAACAAAAAAGATGAAATGAAAGGAAATTAAGAATATAATAATTCAAGAAACTTTTGAAGAATGCTAGATGATTAAAAATACAAAAATTCAAGTAAAATCTATTGCCTTTCTAGGAACATCTATACAGTCAGAGAGGTGGATGTTCCACTCATTTCTGTCTCTGTTCTGCTGCTTTTTGCAATTACTTTATAGTTGAGAAGAGTCATTCTCCTGATAAGAACTTTGCATGCCAAATTAGGATATCAATAACTGAAGAAAGCAACAATGGACAACGATAAACTTATTCCATTGAAATTACTTATAGTTTTATTCTTTAAAGAAAAGGACTGTGGTGGTAAGCATAATATATGACCTTTTTTCTTGAGGTAGGTATATGATACAACTCATATTGCACAGATACAGGTGCGGGTGCAGACACAAACACACATGGATGCGGATTCGGGACACGGCAAATTTGTAAAAGGTAGGATACATGGACATGGCTATATACATACTAGGTTTTATACACGTGCAATGCACATGCTTAAATACCATGATTAAGTATTTTTGACTAATTTTCTAACTAAAATTTGTTCCCCAGTTCCACTTTAATAGTTTATGCTCACTTTTGTCTCTAAACTTTAATATTGCGATTATTTATTTTCTTTGATGTTTGTTTAAATGGGCTACACCCAATTTAAATTTTCATGTCGATATTTGAATTGATAGAAAACAAATATAATTTGAAGCTAATTTGAACTTTCATATTATTTTGACTGACATGAAACCAAGCTTTACTTGAAAAAGTACAATGTTGTAAAAGTAAAAAATATTGAAACAATATTATACAATGAAGGTGAATATTGAAAACCAATAAGGCAAAATAATTAGTTAAAAGTATGCTAAAAAGATACAAAAGAGAATATCAAGTTTGTTCCTATTCATTGATAGACTTCATAAAAAATTATAAATTAAAGATTAATACTAACTCTAGTGTACTTTCATATGATAAAAGCATATGCACAAGCATATAAAAGTACTGAAAAAAACTTATGAAACTCGCTTCTAAAGATTCCTAAATTCACTCAAAGTAATTAAACTATTCTATTAAATATTTAGAAAATATTATCTTTTATTCCTTCTGTTTTATTTTTTATTGAGTTAAAATCAATCCTTCCTCACCTTTATCTTTTTCCCGGTCAATTCTAGAGTAGTGTCTTCATCATCTACTCGATTGTGACATCAGGATAGAGTTATATTTTTTGTGTTGTTATCTTTCCTAGGCTCGTTAATATTTTATCTTATCATTTAGCTTCACAAAAAAGTTAAAAATGTATTTTCGATGTTCAACACAAACTTCTTGAAATACAGACTTTGATTTTTTTATTTCAATGAGAATAAATATTAATTTCATATATATCAAATTCTTTGTGCTCCTGATTTATTACTTAAATAATATTAGGAGCTACCTCTTTTTTTCTCTACAATGAATTCTTATGATCTGCATCTAATAAGACTTTTTATTATGTCAATAATATTACATTTGCTCTATCCATGTCATTTTTCACAAATATCTAAACTAAATACCTGTATTTTTTATTGCCAATTTGCTTTATATTATAATATTAATGTTTAATTTTTTTAGTATTTGAAGAACAAAGTATGAAATTTATGAATGCTCACTAATTTTTTTTATATCTTCCATGGAGAACTCTTCTTTGATTGGGATAAAGTTATTAAATTATTCTTCAATGTAACGCTGTTGATGCTTCTTTAATAGACATGCCTAATGTTAATGTCAATTCAAATGATTCATGGACGTTTTTTGAATTTTAGATTAATTTCCGTCACTTTCTCATTTACAATGGAAATAGCTTGATTCTTTTGAAGGATATCTCTAAATATTCTGATAGTTTCTCCATACGTAATTCATTGTATTCTTTTACCCTATAAATATAATTAACATCAGAGATTAATGTTTCTAAATTATAATCAATTAATGCTAAACTATTATATTATAGTCTTTTATCATTTTTATGGATTTAAACATCTATCAATTGATATTACTAATGTGTTTTGCTGCTCTAACTTATTACTAAATTTTATGCAGTTGCTTTAATTTATATGGTATCAATAATTTTTAAGCTATAATATTTTCTAAAATTTTTATTCCTTAACCGGATATTTTTAATCAATTCTTATTGCTTTTACTTACCATTATCAACTTAGACGATCTTTAGATGCTGAAAAGGGATAGTAAACCCTAAATTGGAAATTAAATATATATATTTTAATGAAAGAATGCCTAACAATTACACTTTTCTTTGTCAAGTTTTAAAATTTTAGCCCTTTTTGTGGTTTTGAACTTTAAGCGTGTGATTTGTAATTTTTAAAACTTTGGAAGTATTTTTAAAAAATTACTTTTAAGTTTGGTAGTTGTAACTTCTATGTTTCATGTACGGTGGTAATTTTTAAATTGCACGATATTTCTTACAACTCTAAAATTTTGAGGCTGTTTTTTGCAATTGTTAAAACTATATATTAATTTTTAAAATTTTTAAATTTTAGCGGTCTACCAATAGTTTCCAGATTTGATGTGTACTGATTATAAACTTATAAAATTTTAGAGTTTTTTGCGATTTTTAAATTTTGGAAGAGTTTTTTCTACAACTTTGTAACTTTGAGGTTAATTTCGACAAATTTTAAATTTTTAGGTGCATGAGAGTAATCTCTTGAATTTATTTTTTGTTATTTGTAAATTTTAAAAATTTTAGAATTTTAGTGTTTTTTTAATAATTTAAACTTTTGAGGGTATTTATATAATTTTTTGGGATATTGAGAGTGTTAAGTGTTAACTAAAAATTTTAAATTCTTCAGAGGTTACTGTTAATTTCTTGATTTTATGTTTGTTATTTTAAGTTTTAAAATGTCAGTAATTTTCAGGTGCATTATGATAATCCTTTGAATTCATCTATGTTGTTTGCAAGTTTTAAATTTTAGAATTTAAAGTGCTTGTTTGTAATTTGAACTTTTGAGGGTGTTTCTATACTTTTTGAGATATTAAGATGTTAACCGTAAATTTTAAATTCTTCGCAAACTGCTGTTAATTTCTTGATTTCATGTTTGTTGTTTTAAGTTTTTAGACGTCGGGATAGTTTTTATAATTTTTCTTGATTTCATGTTTGTTGTTTTAAGTTTTTAGACGTCGGGATAGTTTTTATAATTTTAAACTTTTCAGGGTATTTTGTGCAAATTTAAAACTTTTTAGGTTTTTTTGCAATACTTTATGTATTATAGTACATTAGTTGTGTATGATTTCTTTATCTTAACAAACTAAAACCATAAAGATATTTTATATATTTTTTTAATATTATTTTTTTAAATTGTTAAGCTATAGATAGTTCACGTAGGATTAGGATAGAATATAATTATGATTAGGATAGATTAAGATATAAATGATATATTTAAAATAGTAAAGGGTAATATTGACCATAGAAAGATTTTTTCGAACTCGTGCTTTTAAAGGGAGTATGATTTGAAATTAATAATTTACATGAGATCGATATAGTTTTTTTTATTCAAATGTTATGAGAACTAGATTCCCTCTAACATTTTTATGTGTTTTTTATTGAGTAGATTATAAATTGAAAAATCGCTTGTTTTTGAACTAGATACCCAAACGACACTTTAAATCCATATGTATGAATTGGGTATGGGCTGAAACAAACCCGACCCAAATCCAATTAGTTGCATAAATTTGAGGTAAAGCGGAAGATATATGTCCAAGAAAATATATTATGAGTGTTTCAAACTAAAACAAGTATTATATAATTAACTATATGTTTCAATAATTGTATCTATATATTCAAGAAGTGTCCAAGGAGTGTTGGACACGGACACGGATACAGGCAGTGATGGACACGGATACATGAGCCCAAATGAAGCTCTGGTAAGTATAACTAAGCAGACTTTGATGTAATGTACAGTTCTGAAAAGTTAGATTTCAGTTTCTGCAATCAAAGCAAGTCAATAGAAATAAATGATGTCATTCTTCTTTAAACTGATATGTGAATACCTGTAAGGAAAAAGCCGCTCAACTATGTTGTCAACAGCAATATTTGAAGCAGCACATGCAAGTATCTTGGAACCACGTTTAATTTCTTGTAAGATAATTTCCACTACAGTTGTGGTTTTCCCCGTTCCAGGCGGCCCATGAAGCAAAAACACACTTCTAGACATGAGAGCCTTTGATATTGCATTTTTCTTCAAAAAAGAACAAGAACAAGAAGATCCGATAAGTACATGATGAGAGAACCACATACGGAAAGAATTTTCATAGTATATAGAAGTTTGCCCTATTCATTCCAAAGAAACACGCATTTTTCATTGACAGTTGCCTAAATGCTTTCTTCATAGTAAAGTAAAATAAGACCTTAGTAATGGTCACTGATGACTGAACAAGATGCCAAATTGTCTGACCAACTTCATTTCTTATCCATCTCCTATATGTCACATAAGTGCACCTGCGTTATAGTCTAACAAGTGACACACGTCATCCCCCTACAGTGACCCAGTTCTGCTTCTGATTAATGATGGCGTTCATGGTGGGTTTCAAATCTGGATTTATCAAGATTACCAATCAAAAAGATAAAGAACACTAACAATCAATTGATTTAATGATCTTCTTCGATGTATTCAGCTCTTGGTAACTAGCTTCTTACTACTTTTTTTTTAAATGATGTTGAAGACTTGCATTATGGCTTTAGAATCAGGAGCTTTTAAATTTACTATCTACATAGATAGCTTATGATCATCTTTTTATAATAGTTATCTTTCCCAATGAATAATTTTCAATCAATGATAAAGATGAAATTTTTTATTATCACATCCTCAATTTTACATGTTTGCATCTTTGTCTCTTCTCTTTCCACAGACAACTAATAAATACGTAATTATTGAAAATTTGAAATGACCTCAGAAAATGCCCCAACTGAGCAATAATCCCTAATACCGATTCGCTCATGCCCTTCTGGGGCAACCCATTTTAAGTAGCATTACAGATCACAAGCAAAGCATATGGTGGAGCTACTACTGCTGATCAACCTTTTATATGAAGATGTAATATATGCTACCACAGGCTTCAGAAATGGATGGTACAAGCAGCTTAACCTCTGGTTTATAAATTGAGAACTTATGAGAGAGAAAAAAGGTGGAGATGAGAAGATAGCACAAAAAAGAACAAAAAAAAATGGTGCATATAATGAACAACTGATGCAAAGAGCTATTATTCAGAGAACAAGGTCCGAAGTTCTTGGGATCCTTGTTGTTCTTCTTCTTTGAACCAGGCTCCTGATATTCTGATGAAGCAGAAATATAATGTTTTGGCCAAGATTCTAAATATGATCTGATCAGTTTTTATCTGTTACTGTTGATTTATTTCTGTTTCAACCTTTTGCCTGTTGTTTGTCCCCCTGTTAGAGACTCTCCTATTGCCTCCATATCCAGGAGTCCGGGACTTACTTATCTCCATCTCTGAGGCGCTATTGTCTAACTGTCTGAAAGCTTACTATCTGTGTCCATGCCTTTTCTCTGTGTTGGGCACCCTACTATGTCTCCATCCCTGAGACTCATCTCCATGTTTGAGATCTGCCTATCTGCTTTTTATGAGGCCAAACATATTCATGATCTGGATATTCAGAATCTCAGATTACAACAGTAAAGCCGAACAACAAGAAAATCTGTGGTGACAGAAGTTGTGATATTATTGCCAATTAAGTTGCTGAGTGTTGAGGATTGGAATGAGATGCCTACTTCGTGCAAACTATGAAGATTGACAAGATAGGTCACATATTACTAGAGTGATGCGTTCTGCTCTCTCTTGAGTATTAGAGTAGCTAGTATACTAATAAAGTTAGATAATTTTATTTTAGTCCCACAATGACAAATCTATATCTGCGTCTAATTTCTTTCCTATAAATAACACCTATCTCTCTCTCTGGGACAAATTTCTTTTTCCACCACAAGACAAATCAATCAAACCTAGCAAGAAAAGTATAATACAAAAGAGCTTTACAATTAAACTCAAACAGTGTTGGAAGCATAATCGTATTGTTTAGGTTTGTGGAACTAAATTTACAGACAATAAATTTTTCATAGGAAAAATTTTAAAATAGCATTACCAAATAAGATTCTGAATAAGTGGAAGAAAGAAATTGTTTAAAATAATGGGAAAATAATAAAAACATGTGCAGGCATGGATGGCTGGATTGACAAGAAAAAAAAAAAGAACCTGGGAATGGTCAAGACTCTTGTTGTAAGGAGTAAATTGCAAGGCCTTATTCAAAAAGGTAGGCGGTTTCTCCCCAAATAACACCGGAACCAAATCTGATGCAGGTCCCTTCTGCACTCCCTTACTCAGTTGAATTAAAGCATCCTTCATCCTGCGATATGTAACCTATGCGAAGTGTTCAGATATGCGTCTTAGTACAAGAAAAGTAATGTGCAAAAAAAGAAAGATGAAAAACATCAATGCAGATATACAAGTAAATGCTTTCGTATTTATTTCTAAGTTTTTTCCCAGAACATGAGAATGGATCATGCAAGCATAAAGATTCAAAAAAGTTATACATGCTGGATTAAATATGGATATCAAATTAAAAGGCCTAGTTACATGTCTTACATGGTTGTATGTCATTCACGCGACTACATTTCTTTATGACGAAATTCAATGTTCTAGTAAACAGAAAACATTAATGCAGCTAGAGTAAACTGGCTCTTGCTTTTTATGTGCATATGAATCACTAAATCAACTGTTTTCACTTATGAAGAATTCATGGTTCCCCTAATAAACATGGAACCACAAGTTAGCTAGATATTGGTACCCCATAAGGCCATAAAGGTAAATCATATAATTGCTTGCATACAATAAAGATAAAAGGCCACTTGGTATAGACTATAGAATATAGACTGGTTGCTCTTGCCTTCCTGAACGCTTCTTTCAGACTCCAGTGACTAAGGGAGAAAAGATCTATAGTTATGCAGCCCGTTCTTCAAAAGACATCTCCAAACAACTAAAACTCTGTTAATACGGTGACTTGTTTTGAGCAATCTGGCTTCATCAGCTGGTGATCTCTGTTGGAGCCTACTAGTATTCATCCTCAGTTTGAATAATGGCTAGTAAATTGGTAATAATATGGTAGAATACAATATCCATGCAGGGGAACAACAAATCCTTCAAAAGTAGATATAACAACACAACATGGCTATGTGCGTAATGATGTGCACGTGCTGTGTCTGCATATAGTAAACATTCGCCTACCAAACAGGACACTGTTCATGAAAAGCAGAAAGACCAACAAATAAAGCTTTAATAAGTTAAATCAAGTTCCTAAGTAGGTCATGAACTTAAAGAAAGAGAACTAAAAGTCCAGGCCAACCAATAAGTTATGAACTTATGCTGGACCTCCCTCTGCTCACAAGGTGTTCAATCTATACTAAATTTTTTGTGATTAGGGCATGCCATCTAACACATAATTAGACAGCAACGGCAGATGCATGTGTACCTTGCGTCATTTTTACACTTCTGATCTTGATGTTAAATATCCATGTATTATGAATCAATGATGATGGTATGATAGCCTTTCCACACTAACAATAATGCATGCAGAGGTCCTCTGTGGTTGGAGTTAGAGCCAACAATATCTAGGGAAAAGATATATTTTTTATGCATATGTTGTCATGTAAGATTAACAGTGTCTATTCTAGCACTAGCCACTAAGTACTCACTCTCCCAGAAACCGGAAGAAGAATCATAAACCTTAGACAAGATTGATTAGCCCACAAGAGAAAACCCTAGCCCCAAATTGTCTCAAGCAGGTTCAACCAGGTTTGGATTAGTCCCATATCTACAACATGCATGGATCAGGTTAGAGACCCATCAAATATAACATGCTCCACTTCAAAGTGGGACATGATGCTCAACTACGCTCATTTAATGCTCAACAACTGATTGATAGTCATACAATCTGCTGGTTCAAGTTGTTGTCAAAACAAAGTGCTAGCAGCTACTCACTATACCATATGGGAGCAAGCATAAGCTACTACTACCACAGCTGGCAGAAGTATGCTTTTAACTTTTTAGCAATAGTCAAAAGAAACTGATGTCATGCTACTGAGTGCAATCTTCTAATAAAATGAATAAAAAAGGAACCTACTGATTGCTACAGCAGTACCTCATTTGCAACTTTCTCTAGGCGTAAAGGACTGTCTAAACCATCTTCAGGAATTTCATCAAAAGCAACCGTGATAGAAGAGTCCTGCTTATAAATAATGAATAGGTGTCATGCAGAAATCTGTCCTGCTTATAAATGATGAATAAGTGTCATTAACAAATCTAAACTTAACAGGAATTAGAAATCTAACGGTAATGAGCAAAGCATAATAATACCTTTAGTCGATAAACTACACCCTGTCCAAGAGAAGGAGAACCTGGATCTGCCTTGTTTGGCTTTAAAACAACCACATCATGAGGCCCAAACTGCAAGCAGCATTTAGATATTTGAGTAAATTTCTAAGTTTAAGTTTTGATAAAATAGGCAAAGAATGGTGAGAGAGCATATTTGTGAAGTGCATGTACACCTTCATCTCCTAATCCTTTTCCCACTAGCATCAGGTGGACTTTCAAGCACAAGGCAGAGGGCTCAATGAAAAGGCTACGAGTCCTAAGACTTATGATGGAAGTAAATCTGACACCGTCCTCTAAGGCAGTACATGTTATACTTAAATATTTATATCAAATTATCAATTTGCATTTGAAGCTGAGAATAAAAGATGCAAAAATGGACTGAAACAAACATTCAAAGAAGTACAAACGGTGTAATTGCTAATGCTTGTCACAAAAACAATCAATGATACAAATAATGGTATAACTGTATAACCCATAATAGAGCTTAATCAACAAACTTCTAAAAAAATCAGCATAAAGTGCTAAAAATTGCAAAAGAACAAGAACAATAGTTCAAAAGCTTTTCCTGGTCAGTAGTAAACCAAGCATAAGGCGGGCATTCGGAACCTTCAAGAGTCACAAGCCCTTAAAGGTCCCTAATTATAATTGCTTCAACTAAGCTGATGATGATATGGTCCTTTTCGTAACTGTCTTGTATTTCATTGTTCACATGTGCCAAGCAAGGATAAAGGAGAATCCATGTCTAGCAGTACAAAAAACTTGGTTAGAATGCTATGAAAAGAATCCAAAAATAATAATTTCAGGGTTCCCCACCAATTAAGAGGAAACGGCCCTTTAAAATGGCTAAAGGGGGAAAAACGATCTGCATAAATTGATCCCACATTCGGATATAAACTTCGCTACTGCTGTTAGTGCGGCTGTATGTGATGATTTCCATAAGTTCTACGCACAAAATGTTGTATGAGATCCTTACTTGTTTGACAGTTTTAAACTTTATATCTAACCCAACAGTTTCTAGGTGCATTTCATCTAGACCCAGCAGCTTGCATTTTTTTTTAATCTAAAAAATAGATATAATTAATCTTCATAAAAGCATTTTCTGCTACAAGTAAATTTTGTAGCAAAATGAGGTTATAAATGTGATTTACGTATCTATTAAGCATTAACATGTTTCATGGAAGTGATAACATGTATGCTAAGCAAATATCAGCAGCTTTACTTGTAATTCGTATACTATCCAGTTAAGTGAAAAACGATAATGCTACGCATTTGATGCACATTCATTTTTTTTTTAATTCCATGATGAGACACACCAAGATAAGTATACTGTTAAAGTTATCGCTGCAGGTCTAAGGTTTTAGCTCATGCGTTACGCATCTCATTTTGAATAATCGTACAGGAAAATAATCGCAACTTCTAACAAGATAACAAATAAGTTAAATATCAGAAGAAAAAAAGAAACCTTGTGCGCAGGAAGAACATCTCCTCTGTTAGGTTGGAACTCAAGAAGTGTTTTCCCCATTAATCCTGTCTAGTAATCCAAGCAAACAACAATAAATACAGTTTTTAAATAAAAAAACAATAGTTTAGTATAAAAAAAATTATAGAGACCTCTGCATTAGTGCATTTGAGATTGAGAACAGCTGATCCTTTCCTTTGAGCAACATCCAAGGTTCTTGATGAAGACGAACCAATCGATGCTGAGATTTCAGCTTCCTGAACAAAATTTAACTCTTTCAATTTTCCAATAAAGGAAACTATTTAAGCAACTGATGAAACCCTAACCCTAACCTTCTCCAGATCAATCAAAGGCGACATCGACGAGACGAACTGTTCAACGGAGAGAGCCGAGGACTTAACTCCT